TTTGCAGGAGCTGCTTGAATGAGCCACAGCTTGGACCAGCCGGCGGGGCTGCGCGACCCGCACTGGCCCAAACGAAATGGAAATCGGAACCTGGAGTTTGCGGCCACGGAGCCAGGGACTCCAGACCCAGGTACGCTCGGCCTCGAGGGTGAGCCCCTGGGGGACCTTTAAGCGCCACCGGAAGAAGGCCTCGAACCTAGTCCCATCTGCTAGAGCCCCTAAACATTCTAGGAGCGAAAAAAGGGGCAATATTGGAGCGGTGGAGGATTTGGATCCTTGGCGTCAGTGTAGACAGACGCCACCTCCATCCCCAGCTGCAGAGCCGCTCTGCCCGGGGAATTCTGCTTGTCCCGGGGATTAACGGACGGCGCTGCGGACAGGACACTCGAACTCAGCATGCTGTCCCATATATACGATCTCAGCTGCACACGGGGAACCCTCGGGCGCTCCGCGGCTGTGGGACAGTTTCTAAGGGGTTGCACCTGTGTGTAAGGGTGTATCCAGGCAGCGAAGTGGTTAACCCTGCCAGAAGGGACGAAGGTAGAGGCAGGACTCAGGCGGGGGTAGCCCGGCCAGCAGGACGCCTGGGGAAGGAAGGATGGGGGGCGGGGGGATGAGTGGGAGGATCCTGGGCTAGGGGCGGGGTCTTGCGCAGGAGACAGAAGTCCCGCGTGGCGCTGAGCCAATGGGAGTCGGCGCTGGCCCGGAGGGCGGGGACACACCCCATGCAGGCCACGCCCCTCCCCGCCCTCTTCCAGGGGACCCGACGGCGCGGACCCAGTCTGGCAGCTTGGCCTCTTGCTCTGGCTTTGCCGCAGCGCCTTCCGTTTTCTCAGAAACCCTTCTCCTAACCCAGCCCTGGGATAGAGAGGGAAGCCAAGGAAGACTTGAAGAGCCCAAGGCTCCTAGATGGGGCCATATGGGCTGTGTTTGAAGGCAAATGAGCTTTCCAACTCAGGTCTGGTTCTAGCATCATCCAGACGCCTGGAAGTCCTTCCTGCCGTCTGACACTGATTTTTCCTGCTGCACGGTCAGATCAGCCCCTTAGTCTCCATCTTCAAAGACGGTGAATTAGAGTCCAGAATTGGACGGGGTCCTGGGTGAGGGTTTCAATCCTACCCTTCTTTTCCCAAGCTTCAGGCTAGGAATGTAGCCTGAGTCTGGGCCACGTTAGGCTTTATCTAAACTCCTTCAGATTCCCTAGCTCGGGGCTGGGCTCCAAGGAGGCTCAGAAGGAGGAGACCCCAGGCAGGTCTTGGGGTGGAGTTTTGATCGGTTTCCCCTCTGGGGTCAGTTTGGGGGCAACACTGAACCCCGGTATTAACCCTTAGAAGCACACGCCGAGGACAGAAGAGGGCCCTTCTCAGCTTCAGAATCCCCACCCATCTCGCAGGTGGGAGTTCCCGACGCCCGGATTTGTCCCTCCTTCCCCACACTTCACAAGAGTCCTCAGTATCCCGCTCCATGCAGTGGACCCACGCCTCCCGCGCCTGCGCAGCCTGGAAACCAGCATCTTCTAAGGCTGCAAGGAGCTAAAAATCGCTCCCGCCCACCCACAAGCTGGGCTGGACTTGAGGATCGCGCGCGGGCTTGCGGGGAGGGGGGGTTGTAGTGGAGGGGGGCGGAATGCAGAGTGAGGAAGGAGGCCGCCTAGGCGCCGGTCCAATTAGAGCAGTAGGAAGAATCCTGGTGGCCAGGCAGGTGCATGGAGGTTGCAGGGAGTCCCTATGCCTCAAAAAGGGGCTCCTGGGGTGGTGAGGGGCGAGGCTGCAGCACAAACATGTTTACAGCTGCTCCGGGGCCGGCAGCCCCGAGGGGCGCGAGCCCTGGGGCAATAACTTTGCTCTGCGTCCCCTCACCCTCAGCCTGGCGGGGCGCCAGGGCGATGGCTTCGGCCCCAGCACCCTCCCCTTCCAGTGGTCCAGGCGCCCCTCAGGCTATCCTCGAGGGGGAGGGCTAGGCTGGGCTGCACCCCCTCCGCCAGCTCCCTGGATCCCCAGGCAGCGCCTGAGGGGCGGGGTCCCCAGCGCGGCGGGACGCGCGGCCACCGCGTTCCCCGCGGGGAGTGTCCCGAGGCCGAGGGAGGGGGAGCTGGACCGACCCTGGCGCAAGTTCTCCCGCCCCCTGCCGGGCTCCGCCCCAGGGCGCCGACCCCTCTTCTCCACCCGGGGCCGGGGCCGCCGTGTACCTGCAGCCTCCGGCGGCGGATCAGGCCCGAATCGTCCATGGCGGCGGCGGCGGCTTCGGCCCCGGGGAGGGAGGAGGGAGGCGGCGGCGGCGGCGGCAGCGGCGGCGGGAGGAGGGAGGAGGGAGGGAGGGAGAAGCCGCGGGGACCACGGCGGCGGCGGCGGCGGCGGCAGGGGGGGCGCTGGAGGGGGCGGAGCGAAGTTGGGCGGGCCCGGCGCCGTCACTGCGTCTGGGCGCCCAAGCCCGGCCTCGGCCAAGACTGCCCGCGCTGGGGGGGAGGGGGCAGGTGCGGGGAGGAGCCTCCAGATGCCCCCGATGGAGTCAAGCTACCAAGAGACCCCTGTCGGGAGAGAGAACCTAGGGGAGCGACATGCTCATGGGTAGACCCCCCCCACACCCAAGAAACACCCCAAGGGAGACATCCTCACTGAGATATATTCCCTCTGCGGACCCCACCCCCACCCCAGCTACCCCTTTAGTGAGACACATTCCCGCGGGGCGATAGTCTCCACGGGGAGGCCTTCTCCAGTCGGGAACTCTCCCCTCACCCTGAAAATCATTCCTAAGACTGATGGCCTCTGGGAGGTGATAATTCCTCTCAAAAGCCCCCTCCTCCAAAAGAAGAGACATTTCTGCAGAGAAAGATGCCCAAGGGTGACATGTTACGTGGGGAGCCTGTTGAAGGTACCCCTAATGAAAGGCCCCCTAAAAGCTGTATTGTCTGTGGGAAATTGTCCCCACCCATGAGACCCCCCCACATCCCAAAGAGATACACTCTTACAGAGTGACGTTTTCACGGAGGAGACCCGTCCCCACTCCAGAGGCCCCTTCAGAAAAACATCGACACGCGTAGTGTACCGACCCCTTCCCCAGCAGAGCCCCCTCAGGGAACGGGGCAGCCCCTCTGGCGACCCCCCCTCCCTCAGCGTCAGGATTAAGGAGCCAGGCCAGGCTGGGCTGTATTTATAGGAGCGATTAGCTGGTAGTTGGGGAGGGGGGCAGCAGAAGAGATTTTTACAACCCCCCCCCCGCCGTGTTCCTACAGCTGAGGCCAAACCGCCCATGCTTCCCAGAGTTGGAGTGGAAAGCGTCGGAGACGTCCCCACTTCAAAGCTAGGCACTGGGGGGTAGGGTGGAGAGGGGACTTCCCAAGGGTCCCGGTTCCTAACTGGCCGGAAGGCCTTGGAGGGCGCGGTCACTGGACGGGAGCGACCCCTGCCGGCCACCGGGGGCGACGGCGAGGTCTAGGTCCGGTGTTTCCGGGCGCTTGTCTCCTCATCTCTGCGCCTTTGCCTGAGTTCTCTCTGCCGGCCTCTCTCGGCCTTTTTTGCAGGGTCGTGCTGCCACCTCGCTGCGTCCGTTCTTCGCACTTGTCTGTTCAAGGCCCAGACTCCGCTCCTCTCGCCGCTTCGCACGCCGGCGGCCGCGGGAGCTCTCCGTGGTGCTGATCTCGCGTGCTCCTGTCCGCGGTGCTGAAATCCGAGCGCGGGGTCAGCGGCTGAGGTCACGGGACGGGAAAGGCCGGCGGGTGGCACAGCCCAGAGGCTGGACGGATCTGACCCATGACCACCATGGACTACCCCAAGATGGACCGGGGGAAGGCTAGGCGCACTTGGTCTTGGTTGCTGAAGCCTCCAGGACGTTAATGGGTACCCACAGAGGGGCCCGGCGACAGTGCCTCCTTATTCGTTCATTTACTCGACTCGTATTGAGCACCTACTGTGTGTAAAGTCGTGTTTTGGGACCTGGAAGTACAGCACTGAAGAGACAGACAAAAACTCTGCACTGGCCTGGGAAGGGAGGGAGAGAGATTTGCAGTGGTGATCGTTGCTCACAAAAACACATATGCACACTCTACAAGCACAAGCACACACACGCACTCTGCAAATATACGTACAAACACGAACATCCGCACACACGCTCAGCAAACACAGGCTCATCGTCTCCTAGTCACTCTGCAAACACATACTCGGCAAAACACCCACTCTGCAAATACACACACTTACAAACATAGACTCAGCAAACGCAGACACACACAAACACATGTACACATAAGCTCACACTCTGCAAACACACACACATGCAAACACATACTTAGAAGACAGACATATAACACACAGTCAGCAAATGCATACACAAATAACACATAAAACACTCAATAAACACAAGCACACATGCATAGTTTCACAGAGAAGCTCAGTTACACACGAACTCTCATCCAACATACAGACACGTTATCCTCCCAACACAACACATGGACACATGGACACACACACACACTTCACATACCCGCTGCAGGGCTGCTTTTCTCATCAGACTCTCCCACTAGAATGTCAGCTCTGTGAACGTTGAGATTTTCATGTCTTGGTCTCTACTGCGTGCCCAGAACCTGGCACACAGTAGGTATTCAATAAATCTTTGTTGAATGAATGAATTGAGGAAATGTTCACAAGGGACACACATTCACAGATGCTGCAGAGGGACACACACACACACACACATTTCAGATGCAGATACATACCCTCTCCATACATGACAACACCTCTTTGTTCACTCATGGTCAACATTCATGGTCAACCACCTTTATCCATTGACTTATCCACAGCATTTTCCCAGAACACCCATCCTGATCCTACATCCCCCGTGCCCACATTTATTATCTGATTCTTACTCAACTGGACACACTTGCCTTGGGACACATTCAGGCCTCCTTACCCAGATTTTGAACACACATCCACACAACCAAGAGACACACATAAACATGCCCTCACACAACAAACACACACATACATGCTCAACACACACATGCAGCTACACAAACACACTGTCATCCAACACACACACACACACACTCACCACACACATACATACAGAGCTTAAGCCACAAGCTCAACATCAAGGCAAACACAAGGATATATACACACCAACCCCTGGTCCACGGCCTTTGGTCTGCTGGAGCAGGGGCAGGGCAGTGGGAAACCCCGCCCCTGCGTCAGGCCACGCCCCTTTTGGCTGCTGCTGTGTCCTGGACTTGACCCTGAGGTGTCCTGAGCAGCACCCTAGACCCCAGTCCAGCTAACAGGTGAGGGGTGGCCCGAGGGGGCAGAGTTGGGGGGGGAATTGTCTTGTCTCCCCAAACCCCCAGTTTCCCCTGCCCTGGGGGTTTTGGACCCCGGTGAGAGAACCCAAGTCCTGCCACGGCTGAGCTTGGCTCCGAAGGCCCAGCCCTAGGTGGCAGCCCCTAAGCCGATTGTGGGTCAAGAGAAGGTGACCATGATAAGGGCCAGCGGGGATCGAGAGGGAGGGAGGAGACTGGGCAGAAGAGAGGGAGGAATTACTGGACTGAAGAGGGAGATTGGAAGAGCTGGGTAGGTCCCCTGAGTTCTGGGGACAGAGGGGGTCACCTGAGAGCCGACAGGGTGAGAGATCTTGCTGGGTGTGAGGGGGGAGGGGGCACTTGGTCCTGGGCACTTGGGGAGGAGGGCACAAGAGTCTGATGGGGGGCTTCTGGGTCAAAGGTAGGCTTTGGTGGTCTCCTGGTATTTGAAGATCCCTGGGCATTCCTTCCTTATCAACTGCCCGTTCTCTGGTCTCCCTAGGCAAAGTCTCCTGGGTGTGCATCAGGAGGGTGCCACCCAGAGCTCCCAAAAAGGGGCTGCCGTACCTCACCCCATACCCTAGCTCACTCTTATCTCAGTTGGACATGGCCTGCAGGGGCCGCACTCGACCTAGGGGCCTGGCCTGGGCCCTGCGACTGACCCTGGCATGGATCCTGCTGGGAGCCTGTGGAAGGAGCCACCCATTCCCAGCTACGTCCCGGAGACATCATGGGCTGGTGGCCGATCTGGGCACAGGTCAGTTGCACCTGGCAGGTGAGCAGTCCAGACCCTGCCTAATCCCCAACACCCAGGAACCCCCACTCCACCACGTCAGTGCTAGAATTTCCTTATGAGAGGGGTTTAGGGGGACAGTAAAAGAGCACAGACCCTGGAGTGAGACTGCCTGTGTTCAAATTCCAACTCTGCCACTTCGTGGCAGTGTGACCCTGAGCAAGTCACTTAACCTCTCTGGGCCTCATGTGGGCCATTAAAAAGGAGGAGAAAGACTAGACCTACCTCATAGCCATGCTGTAAAAAGGTGTATGTAAGTGTATGAGCCCTCTACCACTACCAGGGACATAAGTGATAAGCTGATTATGACGAGCGAGTACTATTACTTGAAGCTGCATTTGCATTCCAAGAAAAGTGTCTTTACTTAAATTTTATGTTTTGGAGGACTGACATAACTGGGATCTTTCCTGTCCAGGCGACCCCCAGGCCTTGGTTCCCCAACCCTACCTGAGGATCCAAGACCCCAGCTCACAGGAGTCCCCTTCTCCACGGCCTTGTTGTCCCTCAGAGATGGACACACCAAAGGCATTGGGCCCTGGGATCATCCCAAGGCGCTGTGGGGAGCCGAACCCCGAGTGAGTACAGCACCTCCCACCCCAGCTTTTCCTCTTGTTTTTTGCTCCAGTTGCCCCCGCCAGGGTCCAGAGCCCCCACGCATCCTGACCCATCTGGGTCTCTCTCCCGATGTCCAGGTGCAAATCCTTCCTGGGACACCTCCAAATTGCCCTCCGCAGTCGCTTGCGCCTGCTGCAGTTGGGGGTCCGCCGGGGGCAGCCGCTCTGCGCAGAGCTCTGCGATGCCTGGTAGGAGAGGCGGGGCGCGAGGGCGTGGCCTATGTTTTGGGCGGGGCCGAAGGCGGGATCTGCAGCTGGCTCGTCCTTGTGTTTGAAGGGGCGTGGCCTGCCTCCAATAGGGCCAAGGTCTACAGGATGAGGCCTAGGGTTTAGAGGCTAGGCGGTAAGGGACGGGGGCTGTGGAGGCCCTGGCTTTTAAGATTGACAGTACGTAGGCGTGGCCTTCCATGGACCTGGGTTTTTTTGTAAGGGGCGGGGCCTCTTCATTGAAAAGAGAAGTTAAAAGTGTGGATGGAATGTAAGGGGCTGGCCTGGAATGCAGATGGTCTGAGGTCAGCGGGGATGAGTCCAGTTGTGAAAGGTCCCTGCGTACGTGTGAAGAGCATGGGGCGGGGTAAAATCTGAAGGATGGCGTTTGTAGAGGTGTGGTCCTAATAGGCGGGGCCTGGATCTGGGAAAGGACACACACTGGGCGAAGACTTGGAGAGCAGGAATCCCACTACAACGCGGCTGTGGGGCCCTTAGCCACCTTCCTCTCTCCACACACCACCTCCAGGTTTGCCACCTGCGAAAGTGCTATCGCCTGCGGCCGCACTTGGCTCCCATTCCCGGAAAAGAAGGGCTGCGAGCCGGACTGCACTATCTATGGGCAGGTGAGCATGGGACAGAGGGCACGGGGAAGAGACTGAGACCTCCCCTTACTATGTCCCGTCTTAACCCGCCTAAGTCCCAGAGTCCGGACTGGCACCCCAAGGCCCCCGCTCCCACCCTTTCCCCTTCCGCAGTCCAACCTCCCTAATGGGACAGGCCTGTAGCCTCCCTAAGGTCCACTGAGTCTCGATTTGCTTTCCCCAAGGGAAGCGTGCTCTAGGCCCATCCACAGGTTCCCCTGGAAGACCCAGAGGCCTGAGTCACCTTCCCGCTTCTGGCCCAGCCTTAATCTGGCTTTCTGCCACCCCGGCCCTGGGAACCCAGTAAGAACCACTCGCTCTCCCCAAGGCCCCGTCCCCACCCTGGCCCCGCCCCCAGGCTCCCCGGGGGACTCAGAGGCGGGAATCGCCCGCCGCAAGACCGCGCCCCGGCCCCGGTCTCCACCGGCGGTGGAACTCCCAGACTTTCCTCCCCAAGGCCACGCCCGCGAGCCCGCCCTCTGCCCGCCCCACACGGCCCCGCCCCCAGGATGCTGACTCCGCCCCCTTCTCCAGACATTCACTGACGGAGCCGACCTTTGCCGCTCGGTTCTGGGCTCCGCGCTGCCGGTGGCAGCTCCGGGCACCGCTCACTGTCTCAGCATCTCCATCTCGGGGCTTCCGCGTCCCGGACACGGACGGAGGGCCCGGGACACCGCCTTCCCGCGCCCCCGCCGCCCTCGCACCTGGATCCCGGACGCTGCGGGCAGCGGGAGCGGCAGCGGCAGCGGCGGCGGCGCCTAGAGGGCGCCTGGCCTCGGCTGGGAGCTGGTCCCTCCCCCCCCACCCGCCCACCCCGGCGGCCCTTTAGGACAGCCAGAGCGCCTCTCCTCCCCTCTCGGCCCTCTAGTTCCCAGAGTCCTGCCCCTCTTCCCTGGGGCCCCAGAGACTCGCCCCTCTCCAGATTATGAGGGAAATAACCCACCCAACTCTACTCATTTTCCCCCTCTCCCCACTGAATAAAGTCGCCAACTAGAGCACGTGATGTGGCTGCTTCTCGGGGAAACACGTGGGGAAGGGTAGTTGCCAGAAAGTGATAGGTGTCTCACTTCTAATCCTCAGGTCTTAGAGTTAGCGACTGATTCATACGAGCATGTAAATGATAGATGGCCTACACTCTGGAGCACTAGTCATAACTTGGAATATTCCGGTGTCACAAATAGGGGGGTTCTGCAGGGTCAGAAGAAGGGCTGACCGGCAGATGTGTTCTCCCGCTGTGTGCCACCGGGGCCGCCAAGAAGCCCTCTGACTTGTCTAGACCTCAAGACACCCTTTACGGCCTTCCCCTCTGAGTAAGCAGGCCCAGCGGTGTCTGGCACAAGGCTCCCTTCCTTCCTCCCATTCTCCCTCATCCCAATGCGGGCCCGAAGGCAGTGTGGACTGGACTCAGATTCAGGATTCGGGTTGTAAGCTCTCCTTTTAATTCTTCTCCTTGTCCACAGGCCCTAGGAGAGCCTCAGTTTCCTCTCCTGGAAAATGGGCAATGTCCCTTGTAGTTCTGTTGAGCAGAGGAACATTGACGGCTGCTCTTGTGTACAGGCACTGCGCTGAGCTAGACAGATGAGGCCCACTCCCGGCCCTCAGGGAAGACGGAGTAATATAGGTGCCCCACCCGGAGGGGAGCTGAGGGGCCTCTTTTGGCTGCAAGAGACAAACTCAGTTCACAGAATCTTTAGGCAAGATGAGCTTTGGAAATGGCTGTAGCTAGGTTCTTAAATGATATTAGGAATCTCTGTATCTCTTTCTTGGCTATACTCTGGGACATCTCTTCACAGTATAAAGATGGACCAGAACTCTGTGATGCCAGAGGCTAAGATGGGCCCATTTCTTGGAGAACCAGCAAAGCTCCCAGGCCGGCTCTTGTTGATCCGGCCTCATCAGGAGCCCATCAGCGAACCAATCACGTGCCAGGGGTGCTCTGCGCTCACCGGCCTGATCTGGGTTGTGCGCTGGGGCCTGAAGGCCCATCGTGGGGTCAGTTCCATCTGAACAACATGGACTGAGGATGGGGAGGGGTGGCCCCCCCAAAGGAAAATCAGGGGCCAGAACTAGGAGAAGCGGAGGGGCACTGGGCAGGGATCAAGATACATCCAGTAGAGACTGCCGGTTAGAACCCCGACTCGGTGGTCTGTCTGCCTGGGCTCACATCCCAGTTCCACAGCGATTCATGCTGCAACTTTGCGCATGTAGCTCAGCGCACTGAGCCTCAGCATCTTCGTCTGTAAAAGGGGAATATTAATTGTTCCTCTCATAGGGGTGCCGGATTAAAGGAATTAAGGCAAGCTGTTCTGCTTATGCATCGCTGTGTAACAAACTCAACTTGGTATTAAATGACATCATTATTATCTTTCCTGGGTCTGGGCCTTCCCTGGGCTCGTTGGGGTGGGTCTTTCTCAAGGTCTCTTGCTTGGCTGCAGACAGTGGCTGGGGCTGGACTCACCTGGAAGGCTTCGTCACTCATACATCCTCTTGCCTTGAACCTCAGCGGGGGCCGTCGGCCAGAAACTCTACCCGTGGCCTCTCCCTGTGGCTTGGGCCTCCTCACAGCATGGTGACAGGGTTCCCAAGGCAAGTGTCCCAAGAAAGAGCCAGGTGGATGTTGTCTCACCTTTGACAGCCTAGCCTTGGAAGTCACACAGTGTCACCTCTGCTCTTTATTCACTAGAAGAGTCACTAAGTCAGCTCATATTCAAGGGGAGGTGTCCCAGGCTCACCTCCTAATGGGAGGAATGTCAAATGAAGTGCTTAGAAAGGGCCTGGCCCTTAAGTAACACTCAGCAAATACAGACAGCATCCGTCACCATTGTTGTTGATGATGTCATATACTGTGTCACTGTGACAAAGAGGGTGAGCAGGCAGTCAAGGAAGCAAAGTGACATAAACCTGTGAAGGAGCTCCAGGCAGATGGCCAAGCCACAGGGAAGGGCTCCAAGTGGGAGGGCAGGGGACCTCAGGTTCTGCAAACTCCAGCTGCTCAGCGAGCCTGGAGCGGAACTGGGGTCAGATCACAGAGGGCCCTGAACACCAGGTGAAGGCACTTGGACCTCATGAAAAGGGATGTGAGAGCCATGGAAGGTCTGTGCAGGGGAAGCTCCATCAGACCAACATTCTTGGCCACCACGTGCAGGCAGGACAGGGGAGGGGGAGACAGCGGTGAGGGGCGCCAGTGAGGACCATGGGACAGGAGCCAGAAGATGGGCATGGGGATGCAGGAGAGGGATTCAGAGGAATAACCCCCAGGGCTGTCCTGAGAAGAGCAGGAGTGATCATTTGAAAGCTTCAGCAGCATGGGTGGCTGTCAACCTCACGTTCACCAGGACCAGGGGCCTTCGGCAGCACGGGTGGCTGTCAACCTCACGTTCACCGGGACCCGGGGTCCTGTGGCAGGCCTCCACACCCCTAACTCCCAGCTGAGCTCAATGCTGCCAGACCGGGGACCCCACTTCAAATAGCTGGGGACCCAGAGACTTTTGTCAGAAGTAACACTTGTGAGTGACAGCTTTCGGGTGCCCGCGTCTGCTCGTCACGAGCTGCAAGAGAAGGGGCCGTTTCTCCTCATCTTGCAAGGCGAGTCCCATCAGCAGTCGTCAGAAGGGCCCCTAATTTTGAGATGAACTGTGATTCTAATAATTCTGAGGAGAAACAGGCAGGTCTGAGATATCCAAATTCATAGCACACAAGAGAAAAAGACAAAGTGGAGTTATAAACAGAATCAGGCCCCGTAAGGTTTGGCAACTGTGATGATAACCCCCGGCCAGGCTGGAAGAGCAGGCGCCCCTTGGGTGGGGACATGTGGAGGCTGCGGCTCCTCCTGGAGGCCCGCCCACACAGGGGCCTTCTTGCAGCCAGGTCCTCTCACCTCCGGGTCTCCACACTTGCTGTTCCCACTGCCTGGAACCCCCTTGGCCCTCCTGGTTCCACCCCTCCCCCTTCAGGTCTTGGCTGGTTGGCCCCTCAGGCTCGGCGAGCCCCAGACTGCAGCTGGCCTCCCCACCACCCAATCCCGGGGCCCTCTGACCTCGACGGGAGGTTGGGGACCCTTTCCAGCTGGGTCAGGCCGGTGTCCGGCACGGGGCCCGCACGGAGCAGAAAGGTGCTGTGATGGGCTGAAGTGCATTCCCCTTCCCCAAAGTCATGAAGCCCTAACCCCAGGACCTCAGAATGTGACTGCATTTGGAGACAGAACCTTTAAAGAGGTGATCAAGTCAAAACGAGGTCCTCGGCGTGGGCCCCGATTCAGTGACTGGGGTCCTTATAAGAAGAGGAAGCGAGGACACAGACGCACAGGGACGACCACGTGAGGACACAGCGAGAAGACGGCGTCTACATGCCCAGGAGAGAGGCCTCAGAAGAAATTAGGTCTGCAGACACCCTGATCTCGGACTCCTAGATTCCAGAGCTGCGAGAAAACACCTTTGTTGCTTACACCCCCCAGACCGGGGTACTCTCCTATGAAAGCCCTAGCAGACTAGTAACATGCTCTAAAAATAATGCTCCCACAATGCCCTGGGCTTCTGTCATTAGAACATCTATTAAAAAGCAAAAAGCCACTCCCTTTCTTCCTTTCCATTAAAAATCCCACTGTTCAAGTCAAGGTAGGGTCAAGGGTGGGGGACCGGGGAACACAAGGATCTCTCCCTACCCCCAGGTAGCAATTTTTGACTTTTTATCCCTGATATTCCGCTCCCCGTGCCAGGGATTGCTTTGGGTATAGACACATCTTACTTTCAGCCAGGAAGTGACAGGGCAGCTGCTTGGAAATTAGGCCTTTGGAGGTTAGGATGTGATGCCTGGAGCTATGGCAGCTATCTTGGGACCATGAGAAGCAAAAACACAAAAGCTGGCAAAGCAGATGGATTAAAACAACGGTGTCTTTGATGTTGTTGAGCCATCTGACTTCCAAACTTCTTGTGGAGGGAGATAAACATGACCTACTGCTGGCGAGACGGTGGGGGAAACAAATGCTTACTTACGTTGCTGGTGGGAGTGCCACTCAAGACAAGCCTCCAGGGAGGGGAATTTGGAAATCTCCCTCCAAATGAAAAACCACAGAAACCCGCTAACCCAGCAAGCCCACCTCTGGAAATTTCCCCTACAGACAAAAAAACTGTGCACGACAAATGATGGCACACCCTGGTCATTCCCTGCTGTAGACATTTAATGGCAAGCTGGGCGACAAGTCAATGTCTATAAAGAGGCATTAAATAGACGGCAGGACAGTCACACCATAGTGGACTCGGCAGCTGTAGGGGAGTGAGGAAGGTCTCTGGACACCCACTGGGAGTTACCTCCCAGATGGCTGTGGTGAAAAGAGTAACGTGCACCATCTAGAGTGATAGTTTGTTTCCATTTGTGTAAAAAGAAAACCTCAGGAAACAAAGTATGTGTGTGTGTATTTGTAACACACCAGGCTGTCTCCAGAAGGACCTAGAAGGCATCCACTCTGGTCTTTTGTCCCCCCAAAATCCATGTCGAAATCCTAACCTTCAAAGATGCCCGGGTTAGGAGGTGGGGCCTTTGTGAGGTGGCAAGGTCATGAGCGTGGGACCCTTGTGAGTGGAATCAGTGCCCTTATAAAAGGGACCGCACAGAGATCCCTTGTCCCTTCCACAATGTGAGGACACAGCGAGAAGACAGTCTACGACCTGCAAGAGGGTCCTCACCAGAACCCCACCTCGCTGGCACCCTGATCTTGGACTTTCAGCCTCCAGAACTGCAATAGAGTCGTGCCCCACATAATGATGTTTCCGTCGACACCGGACCGCAGGCAGGACAG